GTGTGTATGTGTGTGTACAGTGTGGATGTGCGTATATGTGCATATATATATGGTGTGTATATATGTGTGTATGGTGTGGGTATATAGATGTGTGTATATATGCATGTGTATGGTGTGTGTGTGGGTATATGTAGGTGTGTATATGTTTGTATATATGAGGTATGCGTGTGTATGGGGTATGTGTGTGTATATATATGGTGTATATATGTGTATGGTGTGTGTATGGTGTGTGTATGGTGTGTATGTATGTGTGTGTATGGCATGTGTGTGTATATGCTCATGTGTGTATAGTGTGTATATGTATATGTGCGTTATGGTGTGTGTATATGCATGCGTGTGTATATGTGTGTATATATGTGTGTATATGTATATATGGGGTGTGTGTGTATATGTAGGTGTGTATATTTGTGTATATATGGGGTGTGTGTATGGTTTTTATATCATATGTGTATATATGTAGGTGTGTATAGGTGCATATATGGGATGTGTATGTGTGTATATGGGGTGTGTGTGTATATGGGGTATGTATGTGTGAACGGCATGTATATGTGTGTATATATATAGGTGTGTATATGCACATATGGAGTATGTGTATGTGTGTATATAGGGTGTGTGTACATGTGTGTATGGTGTATATATACATAGGTGTGTATATGTACATATATGGTGTGTATGATGTGTATATATGTAGTGTATATATGGGGTGTGTGTGGTGTGTATGTGTGTCTATATATGTAGGTGTGTATGTGTGTGTATATGGGGTGTGTGTATATGTTATATGTAGGTGTGTATATGTGTGTATGATGTATATATATATGTAGGTGTGTATATATGGGGTATATGTGTGTGTGTATGTTCTTGTCCATGGTTCCTGGCTCATAATCCCATAACCCTTCGTACAATCTTAATGTTAGGGCACTTTCAGCCTCAGAAGCAAGCCTCAGGAAGCAGAATCTCTGTCTCTCTCTCTCTCATCTTCTCTTGCCCTCCTTTCACCTGCCCAAAACAGGACTCTCACTCCAGAGAGGGTCCTGCCCTATACCTGTAGGAAGGAACGCTGCACTGAGAGGCCAAGAAGAATCTGAATAGATGGGCCTTGAGTTTCCCCCCTCAGTCTATTAGCATTAGATCAACTCTATTTGTCCAATCACATTTCAACACATTCGTGCATGCTTCAGTCACAACGATCCAATGAAGTCTCCAGAAACGGCCTGAGAAGACAGGGTGAGGAGACCTTCTGGACAGCTGAACAAGAGGCGTCTGACAGGAAGGTACAAAAGAACTCATCCGCACCCCAATTCCACGGGAACAGAAGCTCCTGTGCTTGGGACTCTTCCAGCCCTAGCCCGACATATCTCTTCATCTGGCTGTTCATTAGTATCCTTTAAAATATCCTTTGTAATAAACTGGTATATGTGTTTCCCTGAATTATGAGTCAATCAAATACATTAATAGAAGCCAAAGAGTATGTTATAAGAACCCCAACCTGCAGAGGGTTGGCAAGATGTCCCAGAGGCCTGGTCTTGTGGCTAGTGGGGCAGAGTGGGACAGTCTTGCTCACAACCTGTGGAATCTGATGCCACATCCAGGTAGACGGTGTCAGAATTGAACTGCAGGACACCAGCTGATGCCCACTACAGCTTGCTTCTCCCCCACACATTTAGTCACAAAGCGTTTTTTTTTTTTTTTGAGACAAAGTCTTGCTCTGTCACCCAGGCTGGAGTGTGGTGGCGTGATCTCAGCTCATCACAGGTTCACAGCCCCTCAGGTTCAAGCGATTCTCCTGCCTCAGCCTCCTGAGGAGCAGGGATTACAGGCATGCGCCACCACACCCAGCTAATTTTTGTATTTTTAGTAGAGACAGGGTTACGCCATGTTGGCCAGGCTGGTTTTGAACTCCTGGCCTCAAGTGATCTACCCAGCTCGGCCTCCTAAAGTCCTAGGATTACAGGGGTGGGCAGTGGGCCACCGCGCCTGGCCAAGTCACGGAGTTTTCTGTGTTGATTATTGTTGTGGCGTGAGAGAAGAAAAATGAGTTGGTTTTATACACACTGACCCTGAGCACAATACTGTACCTAAATAGCCTCTGAAGATACCGGATAAACTAAGTATTTTATTCCTCCCCAGATTCCTATATTGAAATTCTGTACCCCAGTGTGATGGTATTAAGACATGAGGCCTTTGGAAAGTGATTAGCACATGAGGGAGGAGTGCTCAGGAATAGGATTAGTGCCTTATAAAAAGGATCCCAGAGAGCTCTTGGCTCCCTTTCACCATGTGTGGACATAGCACGAGGGGGGGTCGCCTGCAACCTGCAAGAGGGCCTCACCGGAATCTGCTTGCACTGGCACCCTGGTATCAGACTTCCAGACTCCAGAACTGTGGGAAATAAATGCTTGTTGTGGCGGGACATGGTGGGTGATGCCTGTAATCCCAGCACTTTGGGAGGTGGAAATGGAAGGACTGCTTGAGCTCAGGAGTTTGATACTAGCCTGGGCAACAGGGCAAGACCCTGTCTCTATAAAATATTTAAAAATTGGCTGGGTGTGGCACCTCACGCCTATAATCCCAGCACTTTGGGAGGCCGAGGTAGGCAGATTGCTTGAGCTCAGGAGTTCACGACCAGCCTGGGCAACATGGTGAAACACCGTATCTACCAAAAAAAAAAAAAAAAAGGCCAGACTTGGTGCCTCACACCTATAATCCCAGCTACTCAGAAGGCTGAGGTGGGAGGATTGCTTGAGCCCAGAAAACAGAGGCTGAAGTGAGCCAAGATCGTGCCACTGCACTCTAGCCTGGATGACAAAGCGAGATCCCGCCTCAAAATAAAAATAAAAATATACAGCCACGTGTGGTGGCACACACCAGTAGCCCCAGCTACTTGGGAGGCTGACGTGGGAAGACTGCTTGAGCCCAGGAGGCTGAGATTGCAATGAGCTATGATCACGCCATCGCACTCCAGCCTGGATGACAGAGTGAGACCTTGTCTCAAAACAAAACAAAACAAAACAAAAACAACAAAAAAGGCCCAACGCGGTAGCTCACACCTGTAATCCAGGCACTTTGTGAGGCCAAGGTGGGAGGAGAGCTTGTGCTCATGAGATCAAGACCAGCCTGGGCAACATAGTGAGACCCTGTCTCTTAAGAAAAAAAAAAAAAGTTTGCCCTTTTAGTCATACAGTCTGTGGTACTTTGTTATAACAGACTGAATCAACCAAGACAAGAATTAAGAAGTGTGTGCAAAATAGACAAAAGACAGTTGAGTACAGAGATGTGCTTAATAAATGTGACCAGGCTCCTCTCTTCCTTCACTGAATAATCAATTGTCATGTTGGATATTTCCAATGTCTAATTCAATGGGATTTCTAGGTAATTTTGACACATACTGTTGTTTATAATTATTAGCAGTGCTTAATATTATGCAGTATGCATTCTTCTTTCTTATGGCTATCTCTAAATTTACTTCTTTGTAGCTGCAGTGTATCCTACGAAATGAATGTGGTATAATTACTTAATCATTTGAATCATCCCGAACAGTAATTGTGGTCAAGGTAACACAGTCCTTGATTCTGTAGCAGTGGTCTAAATGTCCTTGATTCTATAGCAATGGTCTAAATGTCTTTGGGACAGGTAAAAAGTCTAAATGTCTTTCATGGCCTCCTTAATGCCACAAAATTACAGAGTATCTCCTCGGGGGGGGGAAAAAAGGACATTGATAAACATACACAGTAAGTGTATATACAATATTCCTTGGAAAATTATAAATGGAGTTAAAAATCAGCTAGACCTTGCAGGGCACAGTGATTCATGCCTGTAATCTCAGCCCTTTGGGAGGCCCAGGTGAGAGGATCACCTGAGGTCAGGAGTTCGAGACAAGCCTGGCCCACATGGTGAAACCCTGTCTCTACTGAAAATACAAAAATTAGCTGGGTGTGGTGGTGGGTGCCTGTAATCCCAGCTACTTGGGAGGCTGAGACAGGAGAATCGCTTGAACTCGGGTGGCAGAGGTTGCAATGAGCTGAGACTATGCCATTGTACTCCAGCTCAGCCTGGGCAAGAAGAGCAAAACGTCGTCTCAAAAAAAAAAAAAAAAAAATCAGCTGGACCTGTAGGCACACGTCTATAGTCCCCAGCTACTCAGGTGGGAAAGGAGAAAAAAATCCCTTAGGCCCCGGAATTCAAGGCTATGGTGAGCTGTGATTGCACTACTGTACTCCAGCCTGGGTGACAAAGTGAGACCCCATCTCTTAAAAAAAAAAAAAAAAACAAAAACAAAAACACACACACACACAAAACAGCTTGGGCATGGTGGCTGATGCCTCTAATCCTGGCACTTTGGGAGACTGAGGTGGGCAGGTTGCTTGAGCTCAGGAATTCGAGATAAGCCTCGGCAATATAGTGAAATCCCATCTCTACAAAAAATACAAAAATTGGTCCCAGCTACTTGGGAGGTTGAGGTGGGAGGATCACTTGAGGCTGGGAGGTTAAGGCTGCAGTGAACTGTGATTGTACCACTGGACTCCAGCCTGGGCAACAGAGTGAGACCCTGTCTCCAAAAACAATCCCACAAAACAAAATGAAAACAAACAACAACAAAAAAATAGGACCTCAGGTTAAGGATTTCAATTCTAGACCATTTGAGGCTGTGAATTACTTTATGGAAGGCCCTCAGGTTAAGGAGAATAGTTCTAGACCATTTGAGGCTGTGGTTCATTTTGTGAACTTGCAAACACACATCCCAGTTACCTTCACATGTATGTTGCTCCTCATGTACAGACATCACATAACAGCAGCACTCACTGCGCACTCACACTCCAGCGTGCGGGTCTATGGTTCTACACATGTTAACACATTTCGCCCTCCTCACAAGCCTATCTTCAGAAGGCTCAAAAAGCTAACAGGCAGAAACAGGACTCAGATCTTGGTCATCTACATTTAATGTTTGGTCTTAAGTCTTATAAACACATATCATTTAACTAAAAAAAAAAAAGGATACTCACCTGACCTTTTAAGATGTTTAATGATTTGTCTTCCTCCTCGGGGATGCTTTTCCTGAAGGATGCTGGCCTGGGGGAAACAGAACCAGAAGGGTAACACCTGCCATATCTAATAAAACCAAAGAGAAATACAAGGCCCCGAGATGGAGTTTCTGGGAGATTCCTGAAGAGCAAGCTGAGATGACTGAGATGATGAAGCGTGGAGCTGCCCCTCCCCTTGTCTCCCACATCAGGCACGTGCCCCTCTATAGGAGGAATTCTATTCCTGAGGCCACTGTCTCCTGTCACTCAGGCGGCCTGAGTGGAGAGCACTTCTGGCTCTGAAAGCGTCACCTCATGGCTGTTTCTGCCTTGTTGTTGGTGAATTTCCCGGCGGGGCTCAGGGGCTCATGTCCCTCCGTGGCCCTTGTTCTCAGGCAGGTAACGCTTGGTTAAGAGGTGAAGGCAGCGGAAGCAGTAGAGACGCTGGAACCACAAGTTGCAGCTGTCACACACACCTGCGTCACCCAGAAGGCCCGATCACCTATCCCAGCACAGAGACGCTGGAGCCACAGGTTGCGCTGTTGGAGCCACAGGTTGCGCTGTCACACACACCTGCGTCACCCTGAAGGCCCGATCACCCATCCCAGCACAAGCCTGCACGGACGGCTCAGCCTCACCACAGCACAGGCTGTCCTGAGACACATCTGCGCCCCTCATACACACTAACGCCCAGCACGGCCACGCTGTGGGCCCCGCCACCCCACACAATGCAAAGGTGCATCCGTGGGCCACGGAGACCCGTCCTGACCGCCACCCCACACAACCCCCAGAGTGCACCTCACAGAGCAGAGTCCCCGGGACGCACTGCCGAGGTTCACAGGTGTAGGCTCCGTCGACCCAAAGCCTCGGGAGCACCCCCGGTCACCAGTTATGGTGCGAGCCCGGCTGTGTCACCCCACACTCTCCAGCAAGTGCGTCACCATCAGAAGCTCAGTGCCCGTCTCCCCTGGGAGCCATGGGCGCCAATCTCACCTGCGCGGACTGGCGGAGACACAGCGGTTGCGTCACCAGTGCAGAAGCGCACCCAGCACGCCCCCCATCGCCCCCAATGACGCTCGCGTGCACCCGTGTCACAGTTACGGGGACAGGGCCGCCGCATCAGCCTCGTACTCCCACGCAAGTGCGTCATACACTCGGTCCCGCCACCCATGGAGGCCAGCGCGCATGCGCACCCCGGACCCGGGAGAGGCCTCGAGCACCTAGCTGCGAGCGCGCGCAAGCAGCAGCAGAGCCCGACACGCATGTGCGTGCACACAGATCCCGACACAAATGTACACCCAGACCCCGAAACGCATGTGTGCGTGCACACAGACCCCCAACGCATGTGTGTGGCCAGACCTTGACACGCATGTGCAACCAGACCCCGACACACATGTGCGCGTGCACAGACGCTGACACATGAACACACTGACACGCGTGCGCGCACTCTTCTCATTCCTTCCTTCCTTGGCCTCTCCCGAAGCCGCGGGCGCACTCGGCGGTCCCCCTACCCCAGTGCTTGGCATGTACCCCTGGGTTCCTCCCAGGAAGCGAATGCCCTACTCAGGCCCAAACACACAGAGGCTTCAGGAAGGGATGAGAGGCTTGAGGAGTACGCCGGACCATGTCTAGGGAAACCAGAGCCCCAAGCCCCGTGTCCCAGCATGCAGCGCCTTAAGTTCCTGGGGGCCTCTGGGAAACGTAGTCCGGGACGGTCCCAGGCAGGGGCCTCAGGGCACGTTCCAGGCAGGCAGCCCCACACTGAGTCCATCTTGCTCCCTGCAGACGCCCCTTCCCGACTGGGAGACGGGCTGTGTCACCCCAGCTGGGACCCCGTCTGGCCTCTGAGTGGGGTGATGCCGGGCGAGCCATGGCTGTCCTCAGAAGGGTATCCTCTCCTAGGCCCTCTGAAGCGTCACCTGGAATTCTCTGCAGGCCACCGGCCAGCACAGGCTGCCCGAGCTGCTTTTCAGTGTCCCTTGCTTGCTGGATTGTAAACAATGTGCAGGCCACAGTTATGCCCTGTTAGTCACGCTCTCATTCCAAGTGGTAATGTCGCAGGGTCTACAGGATGTTGCAGGTACTTAACCACAGCCTCATTTTGACTCAAAATCCCACTTTTTAGAATTTATCCCAAGGAAACAGCTATAGTAGTACACACATGTATGCCCAATATGTTTGGAGATTATCTTGTGTGTTGGAAGTTTTTCTTTGAAATTGATGCAACTGTAGAGTCTTAGGTAGTTGTTCATATAATACTGAGAAAGCCTATGTAACTTTCACTTGGTTACCCCCATTTGGTGATTGCAGTATACAGTATAACATCACTTCCAGGACATTCACACCATCCATAGATGTTATGCAAATTTCAAGACGGTAATTTTTTTTTTTTTGAGATGGAGTTTCGCTCTTGTTGCCCAGGCCAGGATTACAGGCATGAGTCACTGCACCCAGCCAAGACGGTAATTTTTAAAAATGAAAATCTTGCAGAAGATAGAGGAAAATATCACAGTAGAGTACAGAATGAATTAGTCTGCTATATAATGGCATAAAATACATTTACTAATAGTGATACTGATTCATGTAAATTGAAAGAATGTATCATTAATTACTGAGAGGAAGGTAGGTTTGAAAGGGTATGTATAATTTGGGAGGAGATATTTTGGTGAAACTAAGAACACAGGCTCTATAGTATAACTTTCAGAATGTGAATCTGAGCCCTAACAGTTATTAACTGCTGGTTTCCTCACTAATAAAATTGGGATAATAATACTGTAAGGTATGACTGTCTCAACTATTAATTATCAGACTATCTAATACATACAGTAATATGTAAAGATTTTTTAAGTTTGCAGTTACTATTGAAGATCAGTAACATTACACTGATCCTGAATCCAGTTTTAAAAAAGAAACTCATCTGCAGTTTTTATTTTAATTTTTTTGAAACAGGGTCTCGCTTTGTCACCCAGGCTGGAGAGCAGTGGCACGATCTCGAACACTGATCCTAGGCTCCTAGGCTCCAACCTCTGCCTCCTAGGCTCAAGTCATCCTCTCACCTTAGCCTCCCAAGAGCTGGGACTACAGGTGCACACCACCACCTCTGGCTAGTTTTTGTAATTTTTTTCTTTTTTTTTTTTTGTAGAGACGGGGTCTCACTATGCTGCCCAGGCTGGCCTTGAACTCCTGAGCTCAAGCAATCTGCCTCCTTGGCCTCCCAAAGTGCTGGGATTACAAACAAGGGCCACTGCACCTGGCCTGCTGTTTCTTCCTTATACTAAAACATGCACTTGCCAAACCAGCTGTCAATATAGTGAATGCTAACCAAAAAGAACTTTCAGAGCCTGATGTTAAGAACGAAATTTGTCTTGTTTAAGCACATTAGGTGAAAAGATTCTAGGACACATAAGGAGGAAATGTTCCCTCTGACAAGCAAGCAGGGGAAAAGAGAGATGATTCTGCATCAAAAATTGTGCTCAAATAATATGATCTTAGAAGATGCCAAACTGGGAACATTAGCAAGAGGATGAATCATGTGTTCTATGTGTTACAGGACATTCACGCAAACCACTTTAATTGCCATCGTACTCAGTTTCACTTATCTTGGATTTGTTATTTGTCTAGTGGGTATTTTTTACTTGTACATATAATCACGGAAACGTTACTTGTACAAGCATATTTGTAAGATAACAGGCATCAGTGATTACTGTCATGGTCTTTGAAAGAACCATTAAAATCATAGAAAATTTAATTCTGAAAGGCTGTAGAGCCATTTGTTCCAGAACCAGATTTGCTCCAGAACCCCCCTGGATATCAAAATCCTTGAATGCTTAAGACCCTTAGACAAAGTGGTGTAGTATCTGCACATAACCTATCCACATCCTCCTGTACATTTTAGATCATCTCTAGATTCTTTATAAATATCTAATGCTAATAATTTTCATACTGTATTGTTTAGAATAATGAGAAGAAAAGTCTGTACACGTTCAATACAGATGTTTGCGTCTGTAAAATAGGATGCAAACATCCTATTTTTTTGGCCAAGGATATTTTCCATCTGTGGTTGAATCCACAGATACAGAACTCATTCCAAGGGTGCACTATATTTTTTAATAATTTGTTGCCATGGGATTAGTTTCAGATGATGTGTCTCTAATCCTGTAAGGTGTAAACATATGAGAGGTTTTCCAAAACAAGACAAAGATCACTGGCACGTCCCTCCCGTCCCCACACGCTCGCAGGTCTAATGTGACCCGTGGCTGGGCTGGATGCTTTTTACAAACCACCACTTGGAAAGTCTTTGATTCATTTACTTTATCAATTAGAAGGACTTAATGTTCCAGAAACAAAAGCACATACATGTTTAGATGGGAAGTGGAGGACTACAAACATATATACCAAAATATGATTAACAGTAATTATCTCTAGATGGAATTATGGGTAATTAATTCTGAGATTCTTTTTTATGAACTCCTTAAAGGACTGAATTTTTTTGCAGTTGGCCTGCATTAATCCCATTACAAGAAATGAAAGTTAAGGGAGTCCTAATTTTTAAAAATGATTGGCCAGGCGCGGTGGCTCAAGCCTATAATCCCAGCACTTTGGGAGGCCAAGGTGGGTGGATCATGAGGTCAGGAGTTCGAGACCAGCCTCACCAACATAGTGAAACCCCATCTCTACTAAAAAAGACAACAATTAGCCAGGCATAGTGGTACACGCTACTCCGGAGGCTAAGGTAGGAGAAGTGCTTGAACCCGGGAGGCGGAGGTTGGGCCGAGATTGCACCATTGCACTCCAGGCTGGGCGACAGAGCAAGACTCTGTCTCAAAAAAAGAAAATAAAAAAAAAAAGATTAACGGCCAGGCATGGTGGCTCACGCCTGTAATCTCAGCACTTTGGGAGGCTGAGGTGGGCAGCTCACTTGAGGTCAGGAGTTTGAGACCAGCATGGCCAACATGGCAAAACCCCATCTCTACTAAAAATACAAAACTTAGCCGGGCTTGGTGGGGGACGCCTGTAATCCCAGCTACTCAGGAGGCTGAGACAGGAGAA